GAGATTTATAGTATGTTGTATGTTTCAACAGTTCATTTTTTTAAATTGATGAAGAGTGTACCATTGTGTGAATATATCATAATCTATTTACTCTCCTGTGATGGATATCAGGAAAGCAAGGACAGTGGACATTGAGAATCATTGCCACAGGTTACCTCTGGGAGAGACTTCCAAGAAGTACAGATAGGGTCAAGATGGAGGACACTCAGTGGACTGCCCAAGTTGACAAGATGGAGCTGAGGGTCTAGAGAAACCAAGGCAGATTGAGTTCACAGGTCAGAGTATCAGAGAAGAGAGCAGTACAGAGAGCCCTGGAAGTTTCCAGTATAGGACTGATAGTCTTGTGTCTGTGGGGAGAAATAACCATCCAAAGAATGAGCAAACAGTATCTGACTTTTACAAAGAGTGGGGCATGGTGCCTGTTCCCACACATCAGATTTGCAAACCTCATAATTTCCAGATTTGGGGTAGAGTGCTGAAAGTGTCTTGTCACAGTAGTAGGGAATAACTCATCATAGAAAAATGCTGCTTTGATCCTGCCAAACAAATTTAAAAGTAAGATTTGAAAGGATTGAAATGTTCCTATGCAACGTAACAAAATGCCAGAGCAAAGTTAAATAATATTGATGGGAATACAAAAATATCCATCACCCACTAAGATGGACCAAAAATTTACAATGTGTAATATATCTACATGGATTGTCGGGCATGAAAAGGAGCAGAAAAATGAAACCCATAAAATCAATCAATGTAGACATAGAAGTGACACAGACATAATTAGAAGATAAGAAAATGCATGAGTGGAGCGAACAGCAAATTAGAACCTGCAGCAGAAAATATTAGTGAATTTGAAGACAACAGCAATAGACACTATCCATGAAGAAAGAGGGATAAGATCCTTTAAAAATTAAAAACAATCAGTGAGCTATTGAACCATATCAAGAGGTCAAATATATGTGTAATTGGAGTCCCAAAGGAGGGGGAGAGAGGAGTAACAGAAAGAATATCTGAAGAAATAATGACCAAAATTGTTTCAACATGCTAAAATGATAAACTCACAGATCCAAAAAGCTCATTTGAGCCCCAAGAAAAAGAAACACGAAGACCAGGAAATATCATAATCAAATTGCTCAAAACTGGTGATGGAAAGTCAACTTTAAAAACTGTCAGAGGAGAAAAAGATGCATTACATAGACAAAGCTATAAAGGTGACCACAGATTTATCACTGGGAACACCCCAAGCAAGAAGACAGTGGAACACATTTTAAATTACTGAAAAGAAAAAAAATCAACTCAGAACTCTATACCCCATGAAAATATATTCAAATACAAAGGTAAAATTACAGCTATTTCAGAAACACAGAAGCTGAAAGATGTCACCTGTAGCAGAGCTACAAGGGATAGTGAAGGAACCCTTCTGGTGGGAGGGAAATGATACCAGACAGAAAAACTGAGAGCACTTGAGATGGTAGCTGCATCCATCAATAGATATGATTTTTTCTTATTTTTGAAATCACATTAAAATAAATTTATTGTTTAAACAAACAAACAAAAAAAACTCCCAATGTATTGTGGGGTGTATAGCATAGCTATCAATAGAACTTTATGGCAATAACTTCATGGAGGCTGGAGGGAAGAAATGGAAGTAGACTGTTTTCAGGTTCTTATTTTATATGTTAAATGGTATGATGTTACTTGAAGGCAAGCTAGGATATATTAAATGTGATTATTGTAACTTTGAAGCCACCACTAACATTACAAAACAAAAAAAATATAGCTAATAAGCCAATAAAAGAAATAGAATAGAATAATACAAATATTCAATCAGTATCAACAAGGGAAATCTGAGTGGAGAGTGTGGAGAACTTCCGTCCTATCTGACAACTCTCTGCAGATCTAAGTGTTCCCACCTATGCCACCCTCTACCTTCAGAATTCATGCCTTTGTGCTAGAGCTGGGATCTACTGCAAGGTGCTGAGAAGTCCAGGGCAGTGCCATGCCTTGGGGCTCTGAGCCAGCCTGGGCCTGGGTTCTCAAGAAAAGAGCCTGTGTCCAGTTCAGACCCAGCCTCTCACGGGCCTGGAGGAAGCAGACAGTAGCCATGTTGTTCCTACTGGACCTGTGATGAGGAAGCCCTGGGGTCACATGCTGGCAGTGGGGACTGGTGAGGAGGCCTGTGGTAACTGAAGCATTCACGGCATCAGAAGTTGGACCTGCCATGATGGCTGTCACTGAGGTTGGTTCTGACAGGGACATAGATTTTGGAACATTCCCAAAGGCAGCAGGGGCTGGGGGAGGATGCCTCTCCCAGACATGGGCAGCAGAGCTGGGCAGCAAGGGACCCCCACACTGGCTCAGACTCACCATCTCTAACTGTGATCCCCACCTCTTGTTTTATAGATGTACATGAGGCACTCAATGAATTGGAAATAATCAGAATTCAAAGCTCTTGGTCAACACTGCCCAGACTTTTAAACTCTGTGTCTGTTAAATCTTTGCATTTTATTTTAAGTGCGTGCACACACATATACACATACATACACTTATATGTGTGTACATTCTTTTAAAAAATTATCTTATTTTAAAGATGTGGGGTACAATTCAGGATTAGGTATACAGGTGGTCATCATACAGATAAAGTTTGGGCCTCTCTTTGCTCCCCACTTTGCCTGGTTTGAGATCAGGTACCCTTATTGATGTTGTGTGACCCCTCCCTCCCTTGGAAGTTTCTAGCTACTACCAATCCCTTTCTTAAAGTATTATGGTAATTGTTCAGGGTTTACTTATGAGTGAGAACATGTGGTACTCAGTTCTTTGTTTCTGTGATAAATCACTGAGTATTATAGACTCTAAATCCATCCAAGTTGCTGTGAAGTTCATAATTCTATTCTTCTTTACAGCCACGTACTATTCCGTCATGTATATGTACCACATTTAAAAAATTCAGCCCAGTTTTGATGGGCAGCATGGTTGGTACCATGTTTTTGTTATTGTAAATAGTGTGGTAGTAAACATGCATGTGTAGGTATCTTTTTTGTAGAATGAGTTCCGTTCCTCTGGGTATATTCCCAGAAGAGGGAATACTGGGTCATATGGAAGGTCAATTTCTAGTTTTTTCTAGAAGCCACCACACTGTTTTCCACAGATGTTGAACTAGTTGGCATTTCCACCAACAGTGTAGAAGCATTCCCTTTTCTCTGCATCCTCAACAGCATTGGTTGTTTTTTTTTGTTTTATTAATGATGGTCATTCTTACTGGAGTTAGGTGGCATCTCAGTGACACATACATTCTTATTTTTTTTTTTTAATTTCAGAGATGTGGGGTACAATTCAGGGTTAGGTATACAAATGTTCATTTTGCAGAAACCCTTGTTGATGAGGTGTGCCCCTCCCTCCCCTGGCAGTTTCCCTCAACTGCCAATCCCTTTCTTACAGTGCTATGATAATTGTTCAAGGTCTGCTTATGAGTAAGAACATATGGGTCTCTGTTCTTTGTTTCTGTGATATATCACTGAGTATGATAGACTCTAAATCCATCCAAGCTGCTGCGAAGTCCATATGTTTGTTCTTCCTTATGGCTGCCTAATATTTCATTGTGTATATGTACCACATTTTTTTTATCTAGTCCAGTTTTGATGGACTGATTTGTTCCACGTTTTTGCTCTGACACACACATTCTTAATCCTGGTTGGTAGACAAGTCTTCCTGCTGGAATTTCCTTGTTTCTTAGCAAGCATCCTCTGGGGCCTTTTAGTCACACACATAAAAGCAAAGCCCTAAGTTGAGTCTGGGAAATTCTGGGCAACTGAGTCCCTGGTGCCAGGGCCTGTGTCTGCAGTTGCAGGCTGTGAGCCAGGCAGGTGAGGTATCCAGGGCTCTCAGGAGGAGCTCTTGGCCAGCCATGGCTGAGGTTAAGAAGAGGGCAGCCCTGGCAGGAAGCTGGATGTGCCTCCCCTCCTACCCAGCTTCGGTCTGGTGGTGAGTCCTGATATCTGGCTCTTCAGAGGCTTGTGGACAATGGTCACCAAGACTTCCCCAGCGGATCTCTGCTGGTCTCCTGTTTGCCTTTACTCATGGCTATACTTAGCCAGTGATAAATGTCTCGCTGGGAAGCAAGGCACTTCTTCCATAATTCTGAGCATCATTAGTGGCGGTCACATTTGGTTGACCCTTCTTATTGCCTGCCAGGTTCACCCTTTTCAGTCCTGTGGTGCATCTGACCTACTGTGCCTGGATCTCTGTGGTCTTGTTCTTGCTGGCCCTGCCCCAGCTCCTGCCACAGGGTGAGCACCACTTGCATCCACCTATGAGAAGCATCCTATGCTTGTTTTGTCCTTCCAACTTCAAGCTTCTCTGCCTGCCATGGGCTGTGCACACAGATGGTGGTGCATAAATGTTTGTTTGATAGTAGCAGGAACCATGATGGAGAGGGAGCATTCTGTATTAATTTCTTGCTGCTATAACAAATCACCACAAACTTAGTGACATAAGACAATACAAATGTGTCAGGTGAGTGCCTGTTTTCTGCCTTTTCCCACTTCTATACCACTCCTTCCTTCCTCCGTTCTCAAAGCTAGCAGAAGTGCTGTCCTTGGCCTCACAGCCACTTATGGCCACCCTATCCCCACCTTGCCTCTCTCAGGTTTGTTGAACTTACAGTGAGTGATATACAACCTGTTATCTTCTAGTTGTCTTCTGTGTCTTAGTTTTGCCTCTTGCCCTCAGCCATCAGCAGGGCCATTGCTAGGAGCAGGTCTTCATGTGGGGCCCTCATTGGGGGTCATTTCTCCACCCCCCCCCAGCAGTGGGGGTGCCGCTGATCCACCCTTCATATCAGTCACAGGCTCCCTGGCGGTCAATGAAAAATTCACACATGCCATCATGCTTGGCAAGGTGGGGGCAGTCATACAGCCTGCACCCTACACTCCCTCACATGTGTGAGGACAGGGCAGCTCATCTGCAAACACGTGACTGACTCATGGTTTCCCCTTGCTTTTCAGGACCTCCAAACAGAACATTGGTGATGAAAGGAGGCATAGTCTGGAGAGCGATACCACCCTGGCGGAGACCCTCCGGCGCTACCTGCCATACCTGGGGGCTCTGTCCCTGGCATCAGCCTCCGATGCACTCCCCAGGATGACACATGACAAACCAGCCCCCGAGGTGACTCTTCACTCACTCTCTGTGACCCGGGGTTTGGCTTTTACCTCTCTGCACACTGCCCTCTGGGCCTGGATACTTTTGAATGTTCCTTCTGTCACTGGCTCCTCTGGGCTTCATGCTGGTACCCCAGCCAGTGGCAGCAGTGGACAGCACTTCTGGAGGGAACTGTTCCTGGGTTCTTTAGAGCTATACGTACTACCTAGCGCAGCAGTGACTGAACCCTTGTGGGCCACCTGCCCCTGTGAACATCATCCCAATCACCCTCTGGGTGAGGGCATTTAGAATCTCTTTTTGGGACAAGGTATTGTAACTCCAGGAAGCCCAGCACTACAGATGCAGACGGGCACTTAGAGCAGAGCCAGAATAGAGCATTGTTCCAACCCTTCGGGAAAGGAACCAGAGTGGCAATGGATACTGAAAGCTGATGTGAGGGAGGACAGGAACGACTCTGAGTTTGGCTGGAATTTGGCGCCTGGCTGCCCTGATTCTGGCACCGTAGTTGCTTCCTCCCAGGAAAGCTCTCATTCCTTGACAAACCTACCCCAGGCAGGCTCCCAGAACAGTGTAAGGACTCGGTATGTCTGAGGAGGTACAGGGGTGTCTGGGCCCCACGAGACAAGATGGATGTGCTGGACGGAGGGCTAGGCAGGCTCAGGAGATCGACTACAAGGCCAGGATGAACTGTTAGGGCTCTCAATGCAAAGCTGTTCTGGAGCCATTTCAGTCCGTGAAGCCCCCTCAAAAGAACACTTTGAAGAGACACCATCAGAAACGTCAACTGAGATTTTTAAATGGAGAAGTAGGCATCGTTTTTGTGACAACTTTTCAAGCCAGAGTTACCAGATTCTGAGTTGCCTAGAAAAAGAAGAGCAGGGGCAGGAGCTAAAAGAATCCCCTTCAGAGCCTGGGGGCCCTTATGCATCCCGAGGAGAGAATTCTGGGCCGAGTAGTGAAGCACTGAGGATGTTGAGTCTTTGGTGGCGGCATTCACATGCTGCTTTCTGTCAAACATTCACACCAACTCAAATTTGACACATTTTTCTAAGACTGAAGCCATGTCAGTGTGAGACGAAGGAAATCTGGGGACTTTTCATTTGCTATTAAACCCTGCTAGGGTTTCATCAGAAAGTGGTTATAGTCTTTAGATATATGTGGAAAGCAGTTAAGCAATTTGGGCCAAATTTTCACTGTCTTCTTGTATAATTAAACCATGGAAATTATTTACGCTAATTCTGGGTTGGTATGTTGGATAACACCTGAATATCTAGAAAGATCAAGTTCCTTCCAGAGGTCACTCTGCTGATGAGACCTCCCAGGGTCGATAGAGAATCTTGGTGAAACTTTGCTCCAAGCATTGGAACCAGAGGCCGTGTTTTCACAGAAGAAGGCCACATCCTCACAGGGCAAGGTTAAGTCAGATGTGGGCCAGATGAGGAAGCAGGTGTGTTTCTGTGTCTTAGGAGTGAACCCCCGAGAAAAGTCAGGCCTGTTGCCTCACGATTCTCTAGAATAACTCCTGTGAAACCTGTTTATTGTTCATGGTCCAGCCTTGCATTTGATCAAAAAGATTTCATGTTAATGTTTATACATAGAGGCCAGATTGCCTGCAGTCACAGAGCACTCCTGACTCTGGCCTAGGGCCCGTGTGGAGGCTTCAGGGCAGGGTTGAGAGGTTGCTCGCCGGCTCACTCTAGCAGCACCGGGGCCATCTTTGTGTTTCTCCCAGGGAGGGCCAGCAGTGGCTGGTCCCCGCAATCACAGGACAACTTTCCTGATTTGTAGAATCCTTCCCTCCTGGTGGGGGGTGGAGTCTTCAGTCCTCACAGAAGTACAGAGATCACAGACTCTGGAGCATCCCCTTCCCCAGAGGTAGAGCAAAGAATAGTGGTAGTGCAGGGGCAATCCCATCACTGCCCTGTACCAGGTCCACCTCCAATCTGGACCATTGGCTGGACTGACATATGCATTTTAATGACTTTCCCAGGAGTTGTGAAGAGTGTCTCAACAGGAACCCTAACCCTAGTGAACCAAGTTCACCCAATACTATCTTTAAAAAATGTTAAAGTTAAATGTAGAGTTTGGGATGATCACGGTCAAGAAGTCATTGTGAGGAGTAAACAAGAAAACACATGTGCAGCTCGTTGTGAAATGCTCAGTTAATATAGTAGCTATAATAATTATAATAAAACCATCTTTTTAAAAATAAAATGTGAATAAGGTCAAGAATCTAAAAACCAGGCATGGGACTCAGTCCCCAGTTCTAGCAAGGAAAATCAGAGGAAAGTGCTGATGCTCACAAAACACATAGGATCCACACCCAACGCCCCAGGTGCCTGCAATGCAGCCTCCCAGCTGTAATGTCTGCAATTCAGCCTTAGCTGTTTCCCTCATGGCACTGTGGAAAACAAGCATTTCTCCCATTGTCTTGAATATTAGTAATTTAAGGGCATACAAATATAAAGTCACGTTTTGTCTTCTTCCTCTGTCCCCTGTCGTGTCTTTATCATAAGGGCTGTGGAGCTTTGAGCTCCGCCTCTGCTGCTACAGTGGGATTCCTGGGTTTCTGTAATGGAGACATCTTATCATCTTCTCAGGTGCTGGAAGTGAAAAATCAATAAAGTAACCATGGGTAGCCTAGAGACAGTGTTAGTAATAGAAGAGGAAAGGGGAAAAAAATCACTAAGAGCTCCCGAGACTCAGAAGCTTGAGAGAAAGAAAACCCTTTGAAACTTTTCTATGAAGCAGTTTAACATGCATGTCTAGATTTATGTCTAGATTTAAGGGTGTGTGTATGTCTATACTAAAGTCCAAAGTCCCTCCTAGTGGTGATGTGCATGCCTAGACTCATGTCCAAGGCTCCTCCTAATGGTGAAGTGCATGCCTAGACTCATGTTCAAGGTCTCTCGTAATGGTGATGTGCACACCTAGACTCATGTTGAAGGCCCCTCCGAATGGTGGTGTGCACACCTAGACTTATGTTCAAGGTCCCTCCTCATGGTGAAGTTCACTCCTAGACTCATGTTCAAGGGCCCTCCTAATGGTGATGTGCATGCCTAGACTCATGTCCAAGTTCCCTTCTAATGGTGAAGTGCATGCCTAGACTCATGTTCAAAGTCCCTTGTAATAGTGAAGGGTACACCTAGACTCATGTTCAAAGTCCCTCGTAATGGCGCTGTGCACGCCTAGACTTATGTTCAAAATTCCTTGTGATGATGATGTGCATGCCTAGACTCATGTCCAAAGTTCCTCTTCACTGGCAGCAAAAATAGAAAAAAGGAATGAACACAGACTCTGAGGCCGACCCATCATGCCTCAGAAGGAACAGGTAACAAAACATCAGCTGCAGTCAGATAACAGATGCCTCAGTTGTTCAGTTTAGAACATATTATCACGTTCCTCCTTAAGTCCTAGTTATTTTATTAAATTAGCTCTTGCACTAAAATGAAATAGTGAAATTTAGGGTAGAATTTGCTCACTGGACAAAGAGTGGCATGGGCTTTACCTGAGGGAATGAAATGCCAGCCCCATCAAGTGCCTGTCCTGTTCTCTTGCTAACATCTCTGTGTGAGGTCCAACAAGCAGCAGTGACGTTTGAGCATTAGAAATAACCTGCAGTAAATTGCAGGCATATGTAAAAAGTGAGTCTCTTTGGTAGATACTGAGCAACTCGTGCCATGAGCCGTTGGGAGGTGTCATGGGCGATGCCGAGTGAAAGGGCTTGTGGTGGCTCCTGGGGAAGCAAGCTCCTGCTGGGGATGGGAGGCCATCTTAGTCTGTGCCAGGGTATGCAACGTGTCCTCTTTGGTAGATGCTGAGCAATCTATCCTGTGAGTCATTGGGAGGTATTGTAGGTGATGCAGGAGATGGTAGACTGTCCTAAGCAGCACCCAGAGTGTGCGGTGTGTGTAGAGAATGAACTTCTTGAGATCCCAAGTGATTCTGCTGGACTCAAGCAGTTGGACACTCATCTCATCAGGCCAAAAGCAGGGTGAATGTGTAGCCTCATGACACTAGCCAGTAGTGTTTCCTGTAGTCCTTCCAGTCTCTACTTATGTCTACTGTGATTCTGGCTCCTGAAGCCTGAACAGAAGTTCCAGGATCACTTTCAGAGCAGCTTTCCAGATACAGGAGGTGAGTGTGGTTGGTGTCACTATGCTAGAGCATTCCTTCTTTCAGGAGCTCATGACTGGGCTGTTGGGGGCTGAGCTCTTGTGGTGTGGTCCCCAGCTCTGATGCTCCCCGGGTTGCTGGATGTGTGGGAGAAGAGTGTCTCCCATCACTGCCCACATCCCACCTGCTCTGTTTCAAGACATAGTAATAGAGAGACTGGCCACGCCAAACATTCCATCAGCAACCAGGGCCAATCTTCTATTAAGTTTGACCTCTGTAATCTTTAAAACCCCAACCCTATAGGATGGCCACACATTGTGGTCTGCAATGACAGTGCTGGTTTATGACTGTCACCCAGCATAATTATTAATACGTCATCCTTTCCCTCTTGGAAGTGTTCCTACTTGCATGAATGAGTTCTGTGGTCATCTCAACACATAGACATTTAGCACAACGGTTGAAGGGTTATTCAAAAAATGAGCACTTGGTGGCATTTTGGCTTAGATATTTTTTCTTTTATGTTAAGAGAGGTACTTCTCCATATTAAAAAAATGTGTGAAAACCCAGAACTAATTTTTTTCTCTGTCCAGTGTTTAAATGAGGAGAAAGCACTTAGTCATCTCTCTAATGAACAAAGTACAAGAAGTACAGAATCACATGCTGCCAAAACTATTGTGCAGACTTTGTTGCCACATGAACATAACTGGTTAAGGATTTGGGCAGCCATTTCTTGTTCTTTTTCCTCTCAGTTGATGAAATATTTTAACTGGAAATTTAAGCTTTATCAACTGATACTCTCTCAAGGTGCAAGCAATGTCCAATAACTTATTTTATGAATTATCATTTTCTGTGTATCTGTCATCAAAAATGTAACTCTAGCATGGATAGAG